GGGGGGGTGGGGTGTCCATTGTTTAGTTGTTTGTTGTCGCTGCATCGGAAGAGCGCGCTTGCAATGGCTTTCTAAAAGGAGATCGGTTTCGAGAGGGAGAAAGATATATTATACCCTCGGTACAGCCGATTGCAGGGAGCCCGGATAAGGGGCTTGTACGTACACACACACGCGCTGGGAATAATCGTTTTGTTTTATTACTTGATCGGCGATTATTGTATACCCGTATTATATATACACATACGTGGGGACGTTTTAGGCGCGAGAGAGTACGGACGTTTTATAGCGATGCATATACCACCTGCAAAGTAATACATTGGCGCGACAATTTTGCGCATCTGATTTTCCCCGACAAATAGGTATATTTCCCCGATGGCCCTTGGGGGAAAAGGAAATACAATGTCCCCACGTAAAACGACACGGGGTGCGGTGTTCCGATCGGCGCAATAATTCATTTACATATACACAGTAGCAGACCACACGAGTATAAAATAAAAAAAAGCAAAGGAAAACGCTGCACGCGGAGCAAGGGACAGAGGAAATTGCAGCGGGCGCGTGCTCGTGACGCGGGGGTGGAGTATAGCATGTATATATGCTTTAGTGGCCGGTGCACCTTCCAATGTACACGTGTACATCACGAGTAAATGGTAAACACGCATTGTCCGGCATGTCCCTCTGCATGATATTACGTGTACGTTTGTATGCCCCTCATACCTATACACATGTATATATAAATGTACAGCTTTTACGCGCCGCGGATGGAGATAATATATATATAAACACGTACCTGGCGCGGAGACTTTGTCCTCCGTTCGACCGCGAAGGTGTACTTGCAGATCTCGCAGCGATCGGTGTTCCAGGTGGATAGCCATTTTTCCAGACAACTCGCGTGGATGAGGCCCAGGGTGCCCGAGCACTCGCACGGCTCTATCAGCTCCTCCGATGCCGCATCTGTTGTTGCATATCAGGAATGTTTTTTTTTTTTTTTAATTATATTTGAAAAAAAATTATATTACGTCCTATACGCGCGTGCGTACAATGTAATACCTATATTATATGTATATATATAAGGCGGCAGATGAGTTTATTATCAATTTCTTTCGGCATGTGCGTATAGCATCGTGCCCGCGACTCCAACTCATGACTTGCACACACACAATGTCTTTTTACTTACGATATACGTTTATGATGACACCGCACTGCTATACTTGTGTTATACGTCTGTGTGTCGTCTCCGACGCGATACCGCGGTCATTAATTTTAGACGCGTCCTGTTGTGTGAATCAGTATACGGCTCTTTTTTTTTTTTTTTTTTTTTTTTTCTTTTTTTTTTTTTTTTTATTGTCGTTCGCGTCGTCAAGTGATTCACGATGTGTGTGTGTTTTATTTTCTGTGCACTGACCTGCACTTACACCACCCCTGCGCGTATGTAATATGTATCTTTCGCGACTGTGGACTTGCGGAGGCATGTGTACAATGAAGCGCACTATACCTACCGCATCACAATCATCATTTCTAATTTTTTTTTTCCCCTCGATTATTTAAAAAAAATCAAGTTCGTATACTTGTATCCTACGGATTGTTTAAAAAAAAAAAAATAATAATAATAAATAAATATGATTGGCTTCAAGAAGGAATCAAGCAAAGATTCTTATTTGTTTCCGCTGGACAAAGAAAAAAAATTCTCATTTGATCCACCGCCAAATCATTGAGTTTTAATTAACTTGCAGTTAGTTGGAGTAAAAAAAAAAAAAAAAAAAAAAAAGATCTTAACTGATAATCCGCTCACCTATACCTATAATTTAGCCCACGCGTGTTGAGGAAACCCCAGCGAAAACTGGTAAGAGTCGGTAGATGATAATACTTGTATACACACCTTATATATTTTGCACAGTGGCACCGATAGAGTGAAAGACATACACGATGATAATCAGACCCGAGCATGGTGCAGTAGCACGTACATGTGTGTACATTTTATACGAGCTTAATACCCATTGAAAGGGCCCTCGTATACACAATATACCCTCGCGTTCGTCCAATCTCCACCTCCGGGGCACAAGCACGCATATGCATAAAAATACATTGCCACACGCATGGATCAACGCTCGCGAGTAGCATATATACGAGAGAAAAGGGGTGTCCCCTGTGCCCCCACCCCCCCTCATGTGTCCCTTTTTATGTTTCATTCGAGTTTCAGTAAACGTTACGTGCGCGTGCGTTCAATGGCACAGCTTAGAGGGTCTCTCCCTCCGGTTCATTGTTCTCTCACTCATTTTTTTTTTTTTTTTTTTTGAGTCCCAAGGCCACGAGTAAATCGCGGAGACGCTCGTTTCCTACCCATACATGTTCTGGGTAACACGTACAATTAAGGTACACGCCTAATTTTTTATTCAAACTTCCGCTCGGCGTCGCACCGCGTGCATTTACAACTTACCTGTACGCTTATACAGAGGCGGGACCTATACATTGATGGGCCATTTCGAACGGAGAGACAGAAAGGCAGTGTGAAAAAAAATAAAAAAATAAAAATAAATAATGTGCAGCCCAGCGCCGACAGCACGCGCCTCTCCAATTCGTCATCTCGATCGCCATCATCAGCAGCTTCTTTCTTTCTTACTCCGGTGCTCCTTGTATTCTTGTCTCAATTGACGGCCGGCACTTATACATATATAACTGCGCGCTTTTTCAAACGCTCGCCACGGGTATGATGTGTGTGCCCACATACATATATATATATGCGCGATCATCGTTCATCTGGTTAAATTGATTTCTTTTTTCCTTTTCTTTCCTTTTTGTTTTCGTCGGCGATTGTGGTAATTGTTGCTCTCAGATATATATGCGCGGATATCCACGGCGAATTATTTACATAATTTTCGTACGACAAACGACGGAAGAGCCGGAGGAGTCGCCTCGTTAAGCCAATTTGAAGCGATTTGGTGTCGAGCCGGCCCTCGCCAGGAAGTGACCCATCAAATTTCACGAGCAGCCGAGCTTGTGCGCCGCTTGGATTTTGTCGGCTCGCGCTCGAGTTTTTCCATTCACACTTCATCCTGCCGATTCCAACTTACCGATCTATCGGGCTTTGGTTCACGATTCTCTGTAACACCCTCTGTAATAACCCTCTCCTCGCAAAAATATATCCTTTTGCTCGTGTATACTTATTGCTCATACACACATTGCAGTAGCGCGTCAACGATCAATCGAGCGACGAGCAGCTCGACGTAACGTAACAACGACAAACAGCCACCGCCGATGGTTAATTAATGTGACCTGATAATTTTTCGCCAACCAAAGTTGTTGCAAAAAAAAGGGGGGGGAAACTCAAATGATTGTATGTCAGTGTATTATTGTATCATCCGCACGAAAACGCGTAAAGAGGGTACAATTGCAAGCTGAAAATCGTGCGTGCAACACATATTTGTCATCGTTGAATCTTGATTATAATATGTTCCGGCCAATTGATATTTCAACGTAACGTTACATAAAAAGACGGGGGGGGGAATCATAGCAGTCGATTGATCACAGCTGATCAGCATGCAATTAAAACCGCGCGCGCGCACGAGCATATATATATACATATGTATATGTACGTAAAAAACGTAACAATAACAAAACAACGCGATGACCTCCTCCTCCGCAAGACCTTCGCACCGGACTAAAGTATATGTATACATATGTATACCTTCGTAACAGATGCGACAGACGCCAGTTGCCGTGCCGGTGTTATTTTTCTGTGCTTGCTCCCCCGGCATTGTCTCCTCCTCGAAGGGCACCACCTCACCTCCCCTCGATCTCGTCCTCGTTGTCGGCTCCGTCGCCTGCACCACCGCGACAATGAGCCCCACCACCCGTCGTTGTCCCTTCCATTAAGACCTTATGTTTTTGGGCGGATTTTCCGGATCGTCTCGTAAAAAGTACACTAGGGTTGTCGCCTCTTGTTGGCCGATGCCGATCGTTGCCGATTGCTCGACATGTACGCGTATACTTGAAAAACAATCTATTTAGGTCGATTGGATTATTTTTGGGAGACTTAAAAACTCGGATGCGTCAAAATTTACCTATTTTGCGGTGTGATAGTCGGGAAAAATCGGTAACTATACGGGAAGGGCCAAAATAGGGGAAAAAAAGTTACTCGAAAAGGATATCACTGCAATGCAGGGCACTCGTACTCCCCGATAACTTGTACTTTTGTTAATAAGAGAAGAGCGAATATCGGGCAGTAAGGCGTCGCGATCGGCAAAAACGCGCGACCGAGCGGCAAACGAGGAAAGAGATCTATACGGCAGCTGCGCGCGATCGAGAGACTCGCGGCCAAGTGGGTGCTCGCGTGTACACACAGAGTATAGAGTACTGAGATCCAGAGGAGGAGGAGGAGGAGAAGGGGGAAGGACAATTTTTTTTTTTCTCTCTTGGATCGCACGTTGCACGCGTATGTTATACACACAACGTGCAATACGAACAAACAGATTTCATTTCTTTTTTTTTTGTGCCTATCGAAACTAACAGGTGGGTGCTCTACTTGCGAGTGGTCCATTTTTGGTGTTATTACGATCGACTTGGGTGTACTTGAGCTAAAATTCGAGACGAGAATATAATAGCGCGTAGGTACACGTGGTACGAATTGCAAACAAATGAAATTATTGTACTCGATAGGAATCGTTGATAATAATAGTAATAGAAAACCTCGATGGTCCAAATAACGTGATTATATACGTATACTGGAGATGAAAAAAAAAAAAAAAAAAGAAAAAAAAGTCTTTTTCTTCTTGTATTCACGTGGTGACACACAAACCATGTAATCTATACCGACAGGCCCAAATAAGCACTTTATTCGCGAAGATTCGCTCAATAAACAAGAAGAGAGAGAGAGAGAGAGATAAGAACGAGATAAAGTGACAAGTGACGATTCAGACACACGTACGTTGCACATACTTAATATATGGTGTCGGGGAGAGGAGACGATGATGCGTCAACACGGTATTTAGGTATACCGCCCGGCGGGTGTCTATGAGTACTTACTCGCTCGTCGACTCGACATTTAAACCTTTTGTGCCCCGACAGCAACGAGAGACTATTCGTCACCTGCATGTACATACACGTTCCTCGTAAATAACAAGCCCAGCCATATACACACATATATATATATATATATATATATATATACGTAAAGCTCATTTTACACTTGCACGCCGGCGTTGTAATACTTTTGTAATACGATATCGGCTAACACACGCGTCGCCGGTCGGGGGAAGGGCAGAGGGTTTTTTTTTTTTTTTCTCGCGACGGTACCTATATGCACTTACAAATGCGAATTCACGCGAGAGAACGGCGATTGCTTGAGGTGTACGTGTATTGTGTTTATACACGTATACAAGTGTGCTGTGCGGGGGTGGGAGGGAGGGGGGGGATTTAGTGAGCAGATAATGAGGAGCACGAAGTGCTCTCCCGGGCCCCCTTGCACGGCTGTACAATGCATGTATATATATATACGCTCTGGATTCCGGGTGGTGTGAGACTCCTCGTGTTTCTTTTTTGTTTGGTGCGGTGTAATTGATCGCGCATCGACTGCCTAATGGAATTTGCGATACGTTTCCCTGGGAACTCTACGGCTTTAGGGGGCTTTTTTTTCAAATTAGGTTCATGGGAGTGTTGTATTTTTTTTTTTTTTTTCCCAATTCACAAAGTATTTGCACAATTACATCAATGGTATTTTATCGAATGTATAGGAACATAGAAACTAATCGTATTTTTGTCAAAGTGGATGAAAAATTGACATAGTGACAGTAAATTGTGAAGAAATTAACAAAAAAAAAAAATAAATAAATAACTCATGTGTTTCCTATCATAAATATATTCAACGCACATACATTGTAATCAAATATAAAGCACTTGTTGCGTGTACAAATCATAAAAATACTTTTTCAATTCGTAAAAAAAAAAAATAATCAAGATAAGCTAAAAAAAATTAAAAAATTAATTTAATATTATTTTGTAATCAATTGGTAACGATGTTAGTTCAGAATTAAAAAATTTTAATTCAAGCTCTCCCATTGATTCAAAATATTTAACGAATTACTTTAAATATTGTACTGAGTTTTATTTTTGTAAGAAAAACATACATCAAACTAACAAAAACAATGTGAAAAATACGCGTTTACATTGTAAATCCATTTATGTTATTTCAATTTCATCATGACTGGAAAATTAATTGCAGCGACGATTATAAGTAAATGTACTTGATGAAAAAATTGAATTAATCAACAACATCATATTATTTGATTTTAAACAGTGGAAATATAGAAAATACACAAATATACCAAACTCTCCACCACTGCTTAATCTCAAAAAGTGATACGCTTAATTTTTAATACGCTTAAGGTTTTTTTTTTTTTTTTCATTTTTCAGATTAATAAATTCTTTGAAAGATTAAATGGGCCATTCCACGTTCACTGAAGAAAAAAAAATACTTAGTATTTTATTCGTGACTGTAAATGATGGAATATGTTAGTCTTTTAATAACATAACTAATTTACCAGCTAATACAAGGAATATCTTATTTTTTATGCAAGTATAAAGCTATATGTTTATGTTTTCTTACGAAAATAATGATATCCTACACATGTGCACGTAAACGAGACGGTGTTTTAACAAGACAAAGAATCAAGCTTATAATTATTATCCATAAAATGTTTTATTCAATCGATGTCTACTAACACTCAACGGGTGAATTGAAAAAAAAACAAAAATTATTTCGTTTTATTTTTAAATGTATAAACTTATGGGTAACAATTTTTTGGTTGATTAAGAGGAATTGCATTAATCGCGAAAATGTATTTTAAGATGTTTCTACACGTATTTTTTAAAGATTTTTAGTAATGTTTAGCGTGCTCAGTTACTATTTTTTTTACCGCGAAATTATACATTTTTTATCTTCAATAAGTATGTTCGTCCCATTTTTCATACATTTTATATCTCTCGAAGTCGAACGGAGACGGAGAGCCTAAAGTACGTGTCATATACGAAGTATACGCGATTGCTGTTATATACGTTTACTACGTATACGACTGTCATTTATTCATCATCGCCGCATGTCAACAAATCGGTATGACTTAACCTTAATTTCAAATCAAGCCTTCAAGTTGTTGTAAAGTGTTTTTTTTCGACTTTTTAACGCTTGAATTTTGATGTTTGTACAAAATGTTGAACATAGCCAAATCTATGGCACACTTTGATGATGATCCAGACACTTCCAATGATCCTGAAAGCGATGAATCTTACAATGAACAAGTAGGTTCAGTGTTTTGTTTACAAGATTCTTCTACCCATAGTCTAGTTTAAACGATACAAACATTTCTAGAGTGATGATGACGGTGATTATGAATCTGATAATGAATCTCAAGACAGAGACGGTAATGAGTGCGTTGGACCAGTACTCCCAGGGGGCCACAGATTTGACAAAAAATTGATCTGTATTAAATATCCTGGGAATGTGATCAATCCTGATAAAGCCATCGAAACTCTTGGGGGCCTATCGGATATTTCTTCTGTAAGTATTTTTTTTACAAGAAATAGTTTGTACATTATTCACTGTGATACACCATAGTTTAGGTTTTTCTTGTGCTTTTAGACCGTTGATAACAAAAGTAGAAGAATGGAACTGAAATTTAGGCCAAGTGATGGATATTGCAATCCTACGTGTGGGGATAGAAATGAAACAGTTGGATTCTTGTTGAGAGTGAGAGTCAAAAAGTCTAGGAGAGAAAAATTGGAAGGATCAGTTATGACTCATGATGAAGTGGAAGAAAAAGTTGGTGATGAATGCACGGATGACGATTCTAGTCAGAAAATTACAAGTCACAGTAGTAGGAGTAAAGTTAATGAGAAAATATCTAATCAAGATGACGATTGTGAGAGTAACAAAGATGATTCTGGAAAAGATAAACCACCGAGCTTTGATCGTGAAAAGTATGAAAACTTATCAAAAGATGTAGATTACAGATTACCAAAACTAAAAGTACTGGGAAAAGTTGACACTGAGTTTAGATTTACGAGTATGTTTTTTTTTTATGACTAAATTAAGCATTCTTTAATTAAAACCCTGTTTAAATTATAACTTTATGAATCGATAGGCTTATGTGATTTTCAATATTTGCCTATCACCAAAAACATCAAAGATCCATCAAAGGACGAATGTATATACGATAAAATATATCCAATTGGCATGCCACCTGTAAGTTGGATGGACAATGAGGTGCCTTATTTTCTACCACCAGCTGCATTTAGTCGAATGGACAGTGTACAGCAGTACCTTCCAAAGCCAGAAGCACCAACCAGCAATCCTTTGGCACCGGATGTGATTGGAAGAACGAGAAAGCGACGTGGTGGTCTCTCGAATTATATTAGTTTTAACTCCCCTGACGTGCCCATGAATCCACCAGAGGGTATTGAGACTGCTTTGAAAGTAAAGTTTTTACAACAACCACAGGTAGAAGAAATGCAGAAGCTGTTTGACCAGCGTCCCATTTGGTCTAGAAATGCGTTAAGATATCTGACAAAATTTACCAACGAACAGCTCAAAGTGTTGTTACCTTCTGTTGCTTACTACTTTACAACTGGACCATGGCGCGTTACGTGGGTCAAGCTAGGTTATGATCCTAGGAAAGACCCTAAATCCAGAAAGTATCAGACTTTAGATTTTAGGATGAAAGGAACAGGTAAGATTTAAAGTGTATTACATTTATATCAAAAGAATTTGCAATAATAAGTTATTTTATTCATTAGATGGCTTACTTTCAAACATTCGATGTAAGAGAGGCTATTCTGATGTAAGTATGAAGAATAGAAATGTTCCCAACACTAAGTCCAAGACAACAGTTTTGACACCAAATAGTAGTTTTCAACCTCAAAAAAAGAGTATAATGATGGATGAAAATGTTTATATATACCGTCCTGGGATGATTCCACCATCCAGGCAAATGTTTTATCAGGTAATTTTTTTTTTTTTTTTTTTTTTTTCTTCAACAAAACAACGAATTTCTCGTTGGTAAATGATATGTGTTGTAATTAACTTTTGTCCATTGTTTTGTTTTAATAAATAGTACTGCGATGTACATGTTAAAGAAATACAAGACATGTTGGATAAATACTTAGGTCCACCACCTGGAACACCATGCCATGAAAAAATGGGTTGGTTACCTAGCAATTTCGATGACCTCTGTAGGGAAATACTTAGTAAATATGTACGAATTGAGTTGAGAAAAATGATGAACATTCCTGAAAATCGTATGTCATAATTTTCAAAATTTCCATTTCACGGTACGTTTTTTATTAATATTATTTGTGGCATTAATTTTTTCAGATCCAACGACTTTGCCTCGTAAATTGAAAATTCTTTCGGATAGAACTATACAAAAGAAAAAAAAAAAATTGCAACAAACTATGAACAGTATTGTGTCAGCTCCAATAAATGAAAAAAATTATCAAGAGGAGGTGGAATACGAAGACGTAGAAGTAGATGAGATTGAGCAAATTCTCAGTGAAAATGGGAATAAAGCTCAGAAAGGTGATCATGGAAACAGTGATGACGAATTTCATGGATTTGCGAATTGAAACGGCTGGGCCCACCTGGAAAAAGATGACGGAATTCTATGTGGGATTACTTCTGTAATACCTTCAGGAAAGCCGTGTGACATTACATAAGGGGTTTTGGCTTGGTGATACCATGTATGGAAAAACATATGGAACTACAAATTAAAAAAAGAAAAAATTTTGTCATCTAGAATAGGGTTATTTACATTTGGCATTCTGTGGTAACTCTTACACAAAAGAGTTCAGCTAATTTTGTAAAATGCCATATGGCTTTCCTGAAGATATTACAGAAGTGATTCATAAATATTAAAAAAAATTTTCATCTCGATATCCGAAAATTAGTATAACGTTTGAAGGAACCAACAAAAAAAAAGCAAAAACACAAATTCGTCTGTAATACAGTTTATTCGCAAATGTACATAGACGAACAGACAGATCGTTTTTCTCATTAATAAATACTTGTACGTTCTTAATTATACAGTGTATCAATTACAGGAATGACAAATTTCACTGGGCATGAAAAAAAAAAAAAAAAAAATACACGAAAGAACATGCGTTTTTCTTGTTTTGTTTTTGCTCACTTGTAATAATAAAAATGCGTGTAATGACAATACAATGACACAGTAGTAATCCAGCGAACGACGCTGGTGTACAAACATCGGAAATGCTAGGAAATATATTTTTTACAACAGGCATTTATAACTTGCTTGGTTTACTTGCAGTTACGTTAAAGCACCGCCACTGCCGTTGGAATTACTCGATATAATTTCGTACAAAGAGAGAGAGAGAGAGAAAAAGTAAAGTAAGAAAATGGTGGTGGGAAAAAAAAAAAAAGTAATACCATTATGCTTTAATGATAATAAAAAAATAGTATTGGCGCTAAAGCTTATAGTTAACGAGCGACGAGCGATGGCGCGAGCACGCGACAAAACGTTATAACGTATGGTATACATATTGCTATGAATGATCAAAATCCTTTCTCCTCGATCGACCCAAGGATAATTACACGTGCGCATCTCAATGGTCCCTCTCTGTGACTCTCTTCGGTGCATATCAGGCAGGCGTTCAGAGGCGAATGCCACGATTGGTGGCGGCCACGTACTGGAGGAGCTCGTCGCTATCCTCGCAGACGAAGGGCTTCTCGTGGTAGCAGGCCACGTCGTGCCAGGCGATGCCGTCGTTGTACACGTTGTTAAGGATGGCCATGCAGGACTCTTTGGTCCCGTTGATTTCGAATTCGGCATTATCGGGCTGATGTACCTTATTGTGGCCGGTCTGCGACCAGGGGTTGTAGTTCCAGCCCAACGGCACCTGGTTCGTCGGTGACATCTTCTCGCGGTTGGCCGACCAGAACCAGCCGTACAGCGCCTTCGGCTCCAAATCCTTGCGGTTCTCGCAGCCCTTGAAGTCGCACACCCGACCCGACGTCCAGATGTACGGCACGTCGTCTATAAGTCAAACAGTCATTTAGAAGAAAAGATTAACATTTTTATAGGTGGACGTTCCCATGTATGACACGAGTACACGTGTGTATGAAGAAAAAAAGGTCTTCTCCCGGAATAAGTGAAGGGATGAAGTGATGAATAGTCGTCGTCGCTAGTGATTGCGCAAAAGCGCAAAACTCGAATGCACGCGATCCCCGATCGAAGGAAAGGCAAGACGTCTATGTGTATGATAGTTGTTTTAACACGGGAGAAAAAGGAAGAAAAATAACAACTACGCGTTGTAGATTCCTTTGTATTTTTCAACATGTATTCGGTGGATGCGCTTGAGACTTTTTTTTTTTTTCCCACCTAAAGTGAAAGTGTTGGGGATTGTATGCGCGTTCGGTTTGCGGGTATAATCATCGCTCGTTGGCGATTTTCCTGCTTTATAATTACCGATCCGTTGGTCGCCGTGTACATCGAAACGGAGTCCATCATCGCGATTGCGCTATCGTCAATTGTTCACATTTGAAATCGCGCAAGAGCCGATTCGCACTTTGATCAATCAGCGACGGCGGCCGATCGATTAATTATATGGATGTACGCGCGGTTATAATCGGTAAGTGCCCGCCCGATAATTCTCAAATTACATATTACGGTGTGCAAACGAGTACAGTCGCGCGCTATTACATATCGCTCGTGTATATGTACTCGCGTGTTTGTGAGTGTGTTTCGACTTTTACTTTACCTATGTACCTTCTTTCAGGCTTCGTAATATCATCTACGCAACAGTGCACGCGTGCCAGTAGTAGTGTATTACGAGGTAGCCCATCTTTGCGATTCGCGGCTCTAAATAATCAATTAGCGAAACGGAGAAAAAAAATACCAGCCGAGTACGTGAGCGGTCACGTGTGAAACAAATCGAAAATCGGTATTGCTAGCGGTTTTTTGGAATTGAGTTACGTGGTACACTTATTTTTTTTTGGAGCTTTTCAGCGTACACAAATTGTTTGGGTACCCATGCACGGGATATAAAAAACAATTATCCGAAGGTATAGGCTTGGAGCAACAATCTTTTTTCGATTTCGAGAGACTTCTAGCTTCAGATTTTTCTCATAATAAAACGTAATTGCTCCTGTACCTGAAGTGTACCATCGAGTTGATAACCATTTAAATAATAACAGTAATGTAAATTATGTAAATTATCCAGTCGATTAATTGGAGGGTGTATCGACCTGCACGTAAATTCTAAAATGGAGAACTGCCCCTCGGAGCAGATGAGTTTGACTCGCGCTTTTTTCTACGCTTAAAAAAAAGGTATTCGTTAGGTCCCTTGTACCGACGCCCGCAGGAAAATGCGTCTCTTTGTCTTTCTCGATGTATCTTTACAACGGATTGCGGAGTCGTAAGGTTTAACCATGTTCTCACCAGCGCGTGCACGTGTACTATATAAGATACTTTCAACTTGAATAAACTATGCTTTGTAAGTGAGTATACTTGGATGTAAAAAATAAAAAAAAAAAAATCGCTTGCGCGTTCATTTATCGCTCGAATGGCGCTTGCAACTTGTACAACTTGAAACGAAACAATCAATTACTTCGTTTAAAAGTATTTTTTTGCGTCCAAGAAGAAAAAGGTTTATAAAAATACGTCCAACACCAGGTGAATGAACGACAAGGTGTACCGCACGCGTGAGCGTTAAGTACACCGAGGGGGACCGCAAGGGGACCGAGAGAGGAAAATTTCGCAACCCAACGAAAATCCAAGCCAATCCGGGACATTCCCTGCGGTCTGCGGGCGACCTTGTGCGCGACAATTTTCTTTTCGTGTCAATTGAAATTCCCCAAAGTAAGTATACAGTTTGCCGCGTGTGCGCTCGTAGCAGTTATTGCGTGTACGTAATAATTCATGGCTTTTTTGCTGGTGTGACGGATGACGAGTGACAAATGGCCGATGGTTAGTGACATCATAATATACTGTACGGATCAACTGTGTCGATGTCCGATTGTCCTTTGGGGAATCGAGATGGTGCGCGATTTGATTTTGAAATGTTGCAACTGTATACGCCACTTTGGAGGAACCCAAGTTAAAGATGTACGTGACGAAATCCACGGGATGACATGTATCTGCCGTTTTACGGGTCGAAGTAACAATGGCACCTTTTTAGAGTTTTAGAAGTCCAGCGGGAATAGAGTGTTTCGTTCTATTGTCTTTTTTTAAGTATATCATACATTGTTGGTGAGTATAATTGGGGTTGAACCGAAAGCTCGATTTGGTAAATTTCAAGGGACATTTTTCGGGGAAAATAAACGGATTCGTTGTCTCTACAGCTTTTTCCTCCAAGCAGGATGAATAGATTGAAAAATAACTTTCGATAACAAAAAAAAAAAATCACGATTTCAGTGATCACCGTAGTTTTTGTTCTTATACGTTTAACAGGTGAACTTTTTTATGCAATGAACCAAAGTACTGCAGAAAATTTATTAAAAATCGTTAGTTTAACCTTCGTTTTCAGCCGTAAAATGGTAATTATTAACTTTCCGTGGATTTCATCGCACGTGCATATATGTATATAAACAAGTAATAGATTGTACTAATTGCATAAAAAATGTACACGTACTTGATATGATGAGCCTGTACATCAGATTGTTCTCCTCTTGGGTCTCCATCGAGACGAGATCCATACAGAACTCCCGGCATATGTTACGTGCGTCGAGCCAGTCTACACTAGTGTTGGTCAATGTCGGCAAATGGCCGCTGAAGAAGTAGTTGTGGCCTCTGAAGTTGAATTCCTTCGGTCCTGAAATTCATTCATCGCCCATCAGTATAACACGCTTATTACAACGGCTTGCTTATTTCTTTATTCATGGGTATATTAAATAATCCTCGAAATTTAATGATGCCAAGAGCCAGCTTATTTATATATTAAGAAAACGCGAGAGTTGATCGAGCGGTTTTTCGAATTTATAAATGGGGAATAAAAAAAAAGCTGCATGAATTAAAAAAAATCGATACCAAGGACGGTGTGTGTTACAATATGCAGGATTATCGTCGCCACTCGTTTGACAAGAAAAAAAAAAAAAAAAAAAAAAAAAAAAAAAAAAAAAAAAAAAAAGAGTAGATTTTTGTTTCGACAAGGATTTTTCTCGCCTCTTGCATGTATGAAATTGCAAGTACGGATCGCACTTGGGTAATTCTCCGCATCCAATACTCGCCAAATGTAATAATAATAATCGCATTTACGAGTGTAAAAGTTGTACGAGCACTATTATATTAACATTTTGCAGGCATAATGTGTTGCAACAACAACAACAACGATTTAGCCAATGATCCTTGAAGGAAAGAGGACATGTCTGCCAATCGTCCGTCGGCGTTTTAATAATCGATGCTAAAGATACATATACATATATATACATTGAATGACAAGCTTGTACGTCTCGTAAAATTTTTCTTTTTTTTTTTTTTTTCCTCCAAACATCGCCTTGACTTTATGCCACGACTTTTATTTATTTTTTTTCAAGTGATAATACATCGCGAGGAGGACAAATATGTAAAGTTCCTTCAAAAGTGGTAAAACGGCTAATGTGACACCCAAACCATTGTACGAACGATCCAGTTGCAGTGAATTTTTTTCATCACATCCATTGGCACTTCGATGCACCAATCCACTCAGAGATCGGTAGTATACGACGCATTTCTTCCGTGTGACAGTAACAAAAGGCTCTTCTTAACGTTTTTTTTTTTTTTTTTTTTTTTTTTTTTTTTCTTCA